TGCTCAGGACCAGCTTAAACCAGCTCAAACCAGCAGCCATGCTTCAAAACATACCTAACCAGCATATGCATATGGATATGGAAAAGCATATGGAAAACTGTGCATAATAAGGCATGCATGTGTATTAAGAAAATAAATAGGATAAATTTTAATTTCATGTTGACTTTAATGTTTTGTTAGCCGCTAATGCTAATGTCATTTATAGTCCCCGCAGCTACTGATTAGCAAGACTAGCCTCTGACGTAGCATGGCTAGGCACCGGTTCGGTTAACTCTGGCACCCAGGTAACACAGTTTTACTTTGCAAATGTTTTGACTCATCTGTGTACGGTCTTGTTTACTTTTGTAAGTGTGTTTGCCTGTTTGGTTTCTTTGTACTCTCCGCCTGTAATCCGTTCACAGAGTCCTAACGCCAGCTCTCCTCAGCCTGAGCAAAATACTACTGGTAATTTCCGTTGGTCTGTCAGTCAGTCGAGGGTTCCAGTGGAGATCCACATTCTCAGATGCTCAAATTAACCAAGACGCTTCTCTGCTTTTATAGCCACGCAGAAACCTGCCTGTTCTTCTCTTAACAGTGTATGCCGATTACTCAAAGCGATACGGGTAGGTCCTGGCACACTAGCTTAGCCCTGGTGAATGGAAGGTACTAGTCAGAATGCCTGCCACATGTGTGTTGATAATGGCCAGGAGCCCTGCTTTATCGCTTTGTAAAGTATGAAGTAGTTAAGACTTGAATAACATAAAATAACATAATATAATGTTATTTATGTTATTTCCCACGTGAAGAACTCCTGTAAACCTTGCAGTATTGAAACTCAGTGAACAAGGCATCTTAGCCAAGCTGAAAAACAAATGGTGGTACGATAAGGGTGAATGTGGAACCAAGGACTCGGGAAGTAAGGTCAGTCGCTGCAGGTCTTTTGTACTGATTCCAAAAACTGCATTTTGACATATTGTTCATATGCAAGGAACAAACCAATAGTCAATATCTTGATTTAACCCATGTGTAGTAGATTTAATGACTTACGGCCACATATAAGGAAACCATAAGGACGCATGGCCTAGAGTTTTGCACGATTCCCCATCATTTCCAATGATCAGCTAAGGGGTACTTATGAGACATATCTTTCTGTTGTTGTTTTTTTTTTTTTCAGTATTTCTTCCAGTGAATGCCCTCAAATAAAGCCATAATGATAAATCTAATGGGAAATTAGTTAAAAGTGCAAATTGATCGTCTGATTAGATTCATTCCTGTATACCAATTGTCTTTCTTGCTTATTTTCACTTGACTCAACAACCATTATGCTGCAGTTCTTACTCACCAAACTTCGAATTTAAAATTTGATGTATTAGTGTTGTTACTTATTTGTCTTTTCCACAAGAAAAAAGGCCCGTTCGTTTATTGAACCTCCACGAACGTCATTTCTCATCATGACAAAGAGTTTTGACGCAAGTTTCATTAGACGAGCGAAGGTCGACTAGTGACTTGAAGGCGATAGTTCGTTTGTAGTAACAGACAGAACTGAATGGTAAAAATGCAGCAGTGTAAAACGAGCTCGCTAAAAACGGCAAATAGTGTAATACTAATGGACAAATTTTTAATGGACAAGTTTGGGGGGTAAACTGCAGCAGAATGGTTCATTCTGATTCTTAAATTCAGTACTCTGGTGTAGAAAATATGTCAAAATATGAATTTGAAGGTTAAAGGATGGAAAGGCAGTTGTTTAAAGTAAGGTTATTAAGTCAGAGGTCTGACCTGTACGTAACTGACCAGCTTCCTCAGATACATGAAGAAGCCAATGAGAAGAGCAGGTTAGAGAAACCATCTACATTCACCAGTTATGGTCCTAATTGACTCATTTGTCTTTAAATGACATTGAGCTAGACGTCTAGACACAGATGGATATTTTGGCTTAATCTCTCCATTGGAATCTAGATTCCTCTGGTAGCAGTAGAAATGTAATTTATAGCCAGTAGTGCTGCTTGATAGAACACGTGAGGAGTTGTACTCTATAGTGTGTTTTGTGTCAGGATTGCCACTGTAAGATATGCTAACTATGTCCCTCGCTTCTCTTAGGACAAGACAAGTGCACTGAGTCTGAGCAATGTTGCTGGTGTCTTCTATATTCTGGTTGGTGGACTAGGGCTGGCCATGATGGTGGCTTTGATAGAGTTCTGTTACAAGTCACGTGCAGAAGCCAAACGGTTGAAACTTGAAAAGAACACCCAAAACTATAAGCCAGCCCCGCCAGCCAACACCCAAAACTTTGCCACGTACCGAGAAGGATACAACGTGTACGGAACAGAGAGCGTTAAGATCTAACGGTAATGCCTCTACAGTGACTGTGTGTGTGTGTGTGTGTGTGTGTGTGTGTGTGTGTGCGCGCGCCAAAGCCGGAGATTGTGTTTCTCATTAATTCCAGATAATCAAATCAGTCGAGAAGTGCAGCAGCGTTCCGGCTGATTTTGTCCAAACGCTGGCTTGTTTTCAAACGGTTGTATCAGTCAGATTGTGCTACAGAATGCTATGGAAAACACATTCTGTTAATATTTATACTTGGGCAGAAAACAGTCAGAAATATCCATGTTCTACATGTGTATCATTTGGCCCAGAGAAAATATTTGGAACACCAAACCAATACAGTAGAAATAGGACAGACGAAGACTGGATAAACAGACCTGTTGTTATTATCTTCTAAAGTATTGAATTATATCAAATCACAACATTTTTGGGCAGTTTTTTTCACATTTATTTGTGAATCTCTGTGAAACAGATCTAGGTCATATTTCACTCTGAGATCAAGAGAGAGAGAAAATTGTGTACAGAACACAAAGCTAATTTCAGAGCTTCTAGGTTTTGCTTCGTGGTGTGGGGGAAACATACATACATATATACATGCGCATA